CCGGGTCAGCGCCCTCCCCGCGCTGCTGCTGCTGCTGCTGCTCCGGCCGCCGGTGACTCCGGGTAGGGACAGGCGTGCGCCCCCGGGGGGCGGCGGAAGGGGCCGGGGCGCCCGAGGGGGGCGGCAGCCAGCGCCCTACCGCGGTCGCGAGTGGGTCGGCGAGGAAAGGGGTGTGCGCCCACCGGGGATCGGGGAGGGGGCGCTGCGCCCGCGCGCCGGGGACACGTGGAGGGAGCTGTGGGGAGAGCAGAGCGCTGGCCCCTGCGCCCCCACCCAGCCCGCCTTGCCTGGTCACCCAAGGGAGGGAGCCCAGGGGCCAGGCTTTTAATTCTGCGTCTTCCCAATTTTCGAGGTAAAGGGGATCGCCAGGATTTGCAATGGGGGCTCCGAGTTGGAGTTGTACAGCTGTTTCGAGAAATACGAGAGCGTGGCTCTCCGAGCCCCACGAGGAAAGCTGTGCCCGTGTCGCAAAGAAAACCACCCTGTGTCTAAACTCAGACAAAAGCAAATGATATGGGTGGGTGGTGGTAGGACGCGGTAGGGACTGCGTCCCCGGCGAGAGAAAACGTGTCGGGCAAGTTGCACACCTGGAGACCTGAAAACAACTCAAGTTCTTAGGTAGCAGGAAACCGTGAGAGGGCGTGCTTGGGGAGGGGGTGGGGGCGGCCTGGAGTACGCGCTCCCGGGCAAAGGGGGAACAAGTGAAGTTGGTGATGTCTTAGTGTGTTCGAGAAGGAATGAAGTTGGTGATGACAGTGTATTCAAGAGGGAATGAAGTTGGTGATGGCTTACTGTATTTGAGAAAAACATAGGTGGCATAGATGTAATCTCAGTGGCAGGAAGCGAATGAGTGACTCGGTTTTTATCCTGGAAGCTAGAGAGAAGGGAGGAGAAAGGACAGATGAGCTTGGGTTTACCCATGTTGGCACTTCTTAATCTCTTTACAGTCAGGGAGCTCTTTGAGGGTCTGATGAAAGCTACGAATACTCTCCCCAGAAAAATGCATGAATGCACATAGTTACAAAACTTGCATGTAGTTTTGGAGTCAGGGACTCACTGAAGGCCATCCATTGACTCTGCAGGAGAGGTAGTAACCCCATGATCTCTGCGTGTGTGTGTGTGTGTGTGTGTGTGTGTGTGTTTAAGGCAAGACTCCCAATAATTTACATCCAGGTGGGCCAGTCCACCCAGTACTTGATGAGAGCTATCCATCCACAGTTACTCTTGGCTGGTTTGGTGTGAATCCCATAGCTCTGTGAAGTTTCATGAAGTTTTATTTTCCTGAGACTATGTTTGGATTTTTCCCCACATCTGAGGATCTGAGTTGTGTTGGTGACCTGGTCAGTTCCTGCCAGCTGGCTAGCCAGTGTCCGGCATGATCCCTGAGGAGATGCTGGAGTTAGCCAGTGGACTGGGACAACTCTCTTGCACAATGTGAAAGTGAAATGCAGCTTTCAGAGCCCAGCAAGGATGAGCTGTCGGCTTCAAAGCGCAGAGAGGAACCCTGCAGGCAAGGTCTCTAAGGCTCATCAACTACAGCCTGGATCTTTGACCTCACAAAGGTACTGCTGCCGTCTGGCCTCTCCTGATGTCTGTTTTTCTTAAATAGCTTTATTGAGGTATAATTGATAGATAATAAACTGCATGAGTTTAAACTGCACGATTTGATGAGTTTAGAGGTAAATGTATACACTCATGGAACCATCACCACAATCAAGAGAGTAAACATAATCATCACTACGGAAAGTTCGCTCATGTCCTGCATAATCCTTACCTCCCAACCAGCCCTCTCCCCCGGACAACCACGGTCCGCTTTCTGTGACTACTGATTTGTTGCATTTTCTAGAATTTTATATAAATGGAATCGTACAGTATATACTCTTTCTTGTCTAGCTTCTTTTGCTCATAGTAATTATTCTGAGAATTCTCCATCTGTGTTGTAACTTGTATCAATAGTTCATCCTCTTTATTGCTGAGTAGTATTCCATTGCATGGATATTGCACAGTTTGTTTATCCATTCACTTGTTAACAGACATTTGAGTTGTTTCTGGGTTTTGGTTATTATATATAAAGCTGCTGTGAACATTCACACATAGGTTTTTGTGTGGACATAGGCTTTCTTTTCTCTTGGGTAGGAAAAATGGCTAGGAGTGGAATGGCTGGATCATATGACATGGGTATGTTTAATTTAAGAAACTACCAAACCATTTTCCAAAGTAATGGTACTATTTTACACTCCCACCAGCAGTGTGTGACAGTTCCAATTCCTCCACACTCTTGTCAGTACCTGATATGGTCAGTCTTTTTTTTTTTTACCTTTTAAAATTTTTTCCCCAGCTTTATTGAGTTATAATTGGCATATAACATTGCATAAGTTTAAAGTGTATAACACGATAATTTGATAAATATACATATTGTAAAATAATTACTACAATAGGGTTAGTTAACACATTCATCATCTCACATAGTTACAGAATTCTTGTGTGGTCAGTCTTAATTGTAGCCATTCTAATAGGTGTGTAGTGGTCTCTCATAGTTTTAATTTGCATTTTCCTAATAACTAATGATGTTGAGCATCTTTTCATGTGCTTATTTGCCATCAATATATCTTCTGTGGTAAAGCGTCTGGTGAAACATTTTTCCCTTTTTAAAATTCGAGTTGTTGAATTATTATTGAGTTTTGAGAGTTCTTTATATATTCTGGATACAAATCCTGTATCAGATACATGATTTGCAAATATTTTCTCAGAATATATGTGCCTTGTCTTTTCATTCTCTTAACAGTGTTTGATGAAGAGCAAAAAATTTTAATTTTGATGAAGTTCAACTTATTAATTTGTTCTTTTATGTATTATGCTTTCAGTGTCATATCTAAAAAATCTTTGCCTAACTCAAGGTCATAAAGGTTTTCTTCTAGAAGTTTTATAGCTTTAGATTTTACATTTATGTCTATGATTCATTTTGAGTTAACTTTTTACATGTGAAATGTGGATTGAAGGTTTTGTACTGGTTTGGTTTTGGGTTTTTTGCACATGGATATCCAATTGTTCCAGCAGCATTTGTTGAAAAGATTATCTCTGCTGAATTGCTCTTACACCTATTTCGAACATCAGCTGTCCATATATGTTAGTTGCTGTAGACAAAACATCAATATATAAAGATCAATTATATTTCTATACGTTAGCAATGAGCAATTGGAAATTGAATTTTTAAAAATATCATTTGTAATAGCATCAAAAAATATGAAATACTTAGGGATAAATCTGACAAAAGATGAGAAAGACCTGTCCATTGAAAACCACAAACCATTGCTGAGAGACATTAAAGAAGATCTAAACAAATGGAGAGATATACCATGTTCATGGATTGGACAAATCAATATCATTAAGGTGTCAGTTCTCCCCAAATCAAAATCCCAGCAGGCTTTCTTGAAGACATTGACAAACTGATTCCAAAATTCACACGGAAATGCAAAAAAACTTAGTATGGCCAAAATAACTTTGAAAAAGAACTGAGTTGGAGGAACAACATTTCTGATTTTGAGACATATTATAAAGTTACAGTAATTAAGACAGTGTGGTATTGGTGTAAAGACGGACAATGAGCTATGAGAAGCGAGGGTGCCTGATGCTTTTAAGTAAGCTTCGAAGAGAAGTGGACCCAAATTATTAAATCTGCTATTTGGTAGTATGATCCTAGTTAGAAATTATAGAGAGCAGCTCATTCCTTATCACTAGCTGAGTAAATAATATAGTCTCAGATCTGGTCCTGCTAGTTTACAGTGCTAATAGACACAGCAAGTTGTTGTCATCTGTATTATTCAAAAGGCCTGATTTGAAGGGGAAATCCTTCATCTTCGGCAGGTAGTCGTTTACTTCCTAAAGATTCTCACAATCTGAAAGGCTGCAGGTGATTTACCAAAAGCGGCTGGAGAAGATGATGATTTGTTTGAAGATGAATATTCCTGCTCACCAGTTGGGGTTTGGTTGTACAGGGTGTTATTGCACTTGGGCGTGGTTTTACAACTTATGTGACTTTAAACTTTTTTTTAAACCATTTTTTCAGAATTCTGGGGAGTTTTGTCCAAACCTTTTATGTTTTATTTCAAATCAATTTTATCTACTTATTATTGCTTTGTGCTGCTACTCATAGGAAAAAAGTGATAAAAACTTAAAATATACAAAATATTAGATTTGTTGAAGTCAACATAAATGTTCAACAGTGGAGGATGCATAAATAAAATGGAGTTTCTTTCAAATAGTATGTATCATATGACTGAGTTTTTACTAGAAGATCTAGAAGTAGTTGTCATTGAGTAGGGAGCTATTATGGGTCGTGTGTATGTAGTTGTCTGTCTTATTTTTCTCTCATAACTTGAATTGCTTTTGTAATAAGAAAAGTAAATAAAACTACAAAAGAAATAACAAAAAAGATCTAGAATTTTGGACTTTTTTCTAATTTATTTTTAATTAATTGTAGCTGATCTTGTTTGGTAATCTTTTCATGACTTTATACATTTTGCAAATTGCTCAAAATAAAGTTCTATAAAGTCACTGCATATAACGTTTGTGCATACTATACATACATTTTAATCCTCTACAGTTTGTTTAAACAATTCCTTATTGCTAGAGCTGTGTGTAGGCTTCAGTTACCTTCCTATGGTGGGATATTCAGGTTGTTTCAAAATGTTTGATTTTCTAAACAGCACAGAGTAAGAATAACTGGATGAAAATTAGTCATATAGAACAAAAAAGGCAAGGGGAAACTCCTCAAAGTCTAAAAACAAAAAAATGGCAGAAATGTCTCTGGGGATATTCTTTTTCAATCAAATCATCACTTCAATAACTTGCTTTGGGCTAAATCACTTTTGCCAAATTGATTTTACCAAATAGTATGTAACTAAGTGAATAAATGTATAAAATCCCCTAGTATGGAGTCATATTCCCTCTTGGAGTCGTATCGGTGTTACTCATTACACATGGTTGATGTTATTTGAATGTTTTCTACTTGGAAAGACTCGATTTTCTTCTGTGCGGTGGGGAGCCATTGAAGTTCTCTGGG